ATGACTAGAAAAAAATTTAATTGAAAGTAAGAACGATTTTATAAAGTCAAATTTGTAAATAAGCATATTTTCCTATTTCTAAAGGACATAGTGTTACCTTTTACTAGCCAAGACAACTATTTTTAGCTTAATCCATGTACTGTTGAAATTGTCTGTAGAACAAATGCTAGTTTAACAGATGGGTACACATAAAAATATGGGAAGGCATCTCTATGTGCCATTCGGGAATACAGAGACACCAGTCTGTGTAAAGCTCATGAAGATGCTGGGAAAATACACCATTGCAAATCCAATTCAGAACTGCATAGTTTATAAATATGTGCTCTGGTTGCTATGGTAGTATTAGTTTTGGTTTGGGTGACTCAGGATTATGCAGCATCAAAAAGTAACCCACCTTGAAATGTGGGGTTTCAGTATAAAGAGTGCTTCTTATGTAGTTTACCTGAAAATTTTAATAGCAATTTGTGCATAGTCCTCCTACCTCTTTTTTCTGGATAAGGATTGTACACTGTTACATATGTGGGTGCGTCACACAAACAGGGTAGAGAATACACCAGAATTAAAGATAGAAATTACTATGACTATCAAATAAAGCAATGAAAGAAATGCCTTTTTTCTTATGATAAGTATTTCTGTAATGGTGTTTTCATGTGAAAAGATACATTTATATTTTGTTATCCTTTTTCTCATTTTACCATCCAGGATTCTTTATAACAATCTATTGAATTTATTAGAAAGTTTTTTGTCAATATATCTATTCAATATTTGTCACTATCCTTCAAATTACCCTTTTTTTCCCAGAGCTGGAATTGATGACATTAACTTTGATATATTAGTTTTCCTTCAATCAGGGGAGAAAATCTTAAGACAAAATTTTTAGAAGCCACACTGTGTGTAATGCTGTTCGAGATGAGAGACAAGGCAGCAATTATCCACTTGGAGGTCAGAACAAAATTCTACATCCCAAAAGATGATGATTTTGGGTAGTGCAAAAGCTTAATCTGTGAACATCTGTTTTCCAGAAGCCTGTGTGAAATAGCTTTGAACAACGGTTGTAGGTTGTAGTGCTTTTAAGAAAAGATGGAAAACCAGAAAACATACTGATAGCAATCTCATTGCTAAATCATTGTATTGATCACTTGAAGCCTGTCATTAAATTAACTGGAAACATGTATACACATAGATGCTATCTCTGTGAAATGTTTACATCATCACCTCTACAGAAAAAACCAGCCCTACTGAATTCAGTGCTAGTATTTGTATGTGGAAAATTACATACTTAATCACCTTTGGTGTTGCGTATATACATGCAAACAAAGGATTTAACAGCACACCTAGTGTGTTGGGTAGTCTGGTGGCAATACACCAAAAAAGCCTGATAAAACTAGATCTAACTTAGTGTGTCCTTAAGTTGCACTCCTAATGTAGCTCAAATGGTTAAGCGCCTCTTGTTAGCATACTATGATTATTGTAAACACGCATACTTATGCAGTTATCTAATTCACTCTTGTGATACTCTCTTGCAGTAGTGACTCTTTTAGAACTAATTTGATACTCACTTTTTAACATGGTCTTCAAAAACAGCTTTAATATATGTTTGCTCTAACCCTCTACACAAATGAATTTAACACTCCATGCTTAGACAAATAATGGAAAAAGAATTTCATATTTGTACCAAAATTATTATTGGTATTTATATATGTTTAGCTCAATTTATATGGAATTAGAAGCCCTAGACCGTCTCATCTTCTCTCAGCTACACTGATTTTACAATGAAATGGGATGACATTAGACATGGGGTAGAATGGCACTGTGATGGGGTAAAGAATATAGCCCAATATGCCTTTGCTGTTGAAATTACAAACATTTATTGGAGATATCAGATAGGAAAAAATTAGAAATTAAAAACATTATTATTAGTATTATTATTCCCTTCTTGAAGTGTGAACACTTGCAGTGATTAACTAGTTTACACAAATTACAGCTGTACTTTTTGCTTAAGGAAGACCATATGCTTTGCTAGATTTAAGAACTACATATAATTTCCAGCAGAGCTATCTCCAAATGACATTTATACTCAATATATATGGAATATCTGAGTTTCAGCTGACTGTAGAAATGAATTATATCTTGCTTGTAGTGTCTGCAAAACCCCTCAAACATAACTCCCTACCATGAGGTGTAATCCAAAAAAATTAAAAAGTCAAGGAAAATAATGTCAAGAATGTGGAGCATACAAATAGCTGCAGTGAATGGAAAAATATTTGCTGAAGTTCTCTGAAAAGCTGGAGCTGAATCAATAAAAAAAAACTTTCCTGGAAAGAAGAATAAAAGGAAAATATGAAATCTGGGTTTTAAAACCAAACTAACTGCATGATATTTAAGAACAAAATTGAGCTGTAGAACTTCTGCATTTCACTAACAAGCCAAGAAGAGCAAGTTGGAGTTAAGAGGATCCCTGACCAGAAAGAAAAAGCTGAACTGGAAAATTGAAATCAAGCAGAGGGGACTGGAACTCTAATGAAAACTTAGAAACTTGCTCCGTGACATTGAAATTCCTGAGAGAGTGCATGTTGAACATATGCCTATCTATTTGCCTAGAATTACTTTCTTGCTAATAAAGCACTATATTTAAATATTGTTTTCTGAAATCAAACATTCTTCAGATATGAGGTTTCTTGAAGAGTCAAATTTTCAGACAGCCAACTGAGAGAGAAGAAGCATGATGGGGAGGTGACTTGTAAAATATTTGAGACATCTGGGGCAGGGAAATGAAGCTTTTGTCTTGCACTGCCTTTTTCCAGGCTATAGTTTTCAAGTCCTTAGGAAATGGCACTGTGTTGAGTCTGCCCCGGGAGAGTTTGCCCACAAGGACAAGACCACAGCAGGAGGCTGGAACCTGCACAAATTCCCTCCTTAGACACGAGTCAGGTGCTGCAGCCAAGCTCCCAGCTGGTAACTGTCCATGCCATGCTGGTGGTACCAGTGCTATGCCAAAGCACAGCTAAATCACTCGTGTGAGTAATAAACAATGCAAAGACTGGTCTTGAATTGTGCTTTGCAGTCAGCCATATTTTCAAATCCAGGAATCTAAAATGTACCCCTGGATAGTCACACAGGCTGCCAAAGGGAAGGTATAAATTAGGTGCCAGGTAATCTTTCATCCACCTACTTAGACTGCAAATCTTTTTCTGGCAAATCTTTCATCTTGACTACCAGATGTTGTCTTTTGTTCTCAATCACATTACGCCTGCAAACTGTCAGTGCATGTAGCTCATGCACTGCTGTATGAGTAAGTCTGATGGATATTATGCAAATATCTCCAGATGAAAATCTCTTCTGAAAGACATTAAGAACAGCACATTGCTGCAGGTACCTTGCAACTACTACTTCTTGTGAAATGTCACGGACATCTTTATCAATATAAATGGAAATAAGAGCCCTAGTCAGCTGCACGATTGCCCAACGTAAGAAGGAGACATTGTAATTAGAAAAGCACAAATCATGCAAAATTTGAGGTGTATGAGGTTTGGTGACTCTCTCAAACTATACTTTGTTTCCTATAATTAGTTGAAAATAAAACTTATTTTCCAGTAAGTTCAAAACCACATTTTATCCCAGAGATTATTCCATTTAAAGCCAAATACATATTGCTTTTAGCTAAAGAAAGCATGCTGTGCATAGAAAAAAAAACTTTATTATCTGTTATAGCTTGGTTCCTAGAAGTTGCAACTCTGAAGAAAAACATTTTAGTCTTTGTATCTTCAACTCCTGTGTGGTTTGTAACTACTTGTTTTCTCCCAAGAGAATGGATGGCTGTGCTACTCCCCAGTTTTTGACATCATGGAAGTGAACTGTAAGTGAAATGGACAACAATCACAGGGCTTTGTCCACTGCCATGCAGAATGATAGGATCACAGAATGTGATGGGGTTGGAATGGATTTTGAAAATCATCTAATCCCAATCCCCTGCCATGGGCAGCAGCACCTCTCTCTAGACCAGGCTGGTCAAGGCCTTATCCCAAAGTGGCTTTAATCACTGCCAGGGCTGGGGCATCCACAACCTCTCTGGGTAACCTGTTCCAGTGTCTCACTGCACTCACAATGAAGAATTTTTTATGAAAACATCTAGTGTAATTTGTGCCCATTACTCCTGGTTCTATCATTACTGTTCCTGAAAAGGAGTCTCTCCCCAGCTTCCCTAGAGGCCCCCTGAAGTGGAGGCAATGGGGGTGCATTTGTACATCAAGCTGTGCTGAGGTAGTCCTGTCTAACCTCCCAAAACAAATGATCCTCAACCATGTTGCTCCATTTATTTCCTCTTTTTCAGTCCAGTGGTTCCATGTGCCTCGTTTGCCAAAGCAGGCAGAAACACCGACCTGTTGCCGCAGGTGACAGAAGTCGCCGGCGGGAACGGGCAGTGCCTTTAGCGAAGGGGTCCGACGGAGGCGGGGCTGGACTCACTGCCCACTGCTCTCTGCTCACTGCCCACTGCTCTCTGCCACTGCCCACTGCTCTCTGCCCACTGCCCTCTGCTCTCTGCCCACTGCCCTCTGCTCTCTGCCACTGCCCTCTGCTCTCTGCTCACTGCCCACTGCCCTCTGCTCACTGCCCACTGCTCTCTGCTCACTGCCCACTGCCCTCTGCCCACTGCCCACTGCTCTCTGCCCACTGCCCTCTGCTCTCTGCCACTGCCCTCTGCTCTCTGCTCACTGCCCACTGCCCTCTGCCCACTGCCCACTGCTCTCTGCCCACTGCCCACTGCTCTCTGCTCACTGCCCACTGCCCTCTGCCCACTGCCCACTGCTCTCTGCTCACTGCCCTCTGCTCTTTGCCCTCTGCCCACTGCCGACTGCTCACTGCCCACTCCGCCCACTCCCCACTCGGCCCGCCCGGCCCCGCCCCGCTCGCGCGCGGCCACCCGCCCCGCTGCCCCCCGGCGATCTCGCGGGATTATGCTAACGAGGCCGCCGCCACCGCCCCGCCTCTCCGCTCCCCGCCCGCCCCGCGCCCTCCCTGGGCGGGTGAGCGCGCGCGGCCGCGGTGCGCTGTGGGATAGTGGCGGTATAAAGTGTACGCTCGGCGCGGCCGTGGCTGAGGGGGCCGGCGCGAGCGGGGCATGAAGATGGCGGACGCCAAGCAGAAGCGGAACGAGCAGCTGAAGCGCTGGATCGGCTCCGAGACCGACCTGGAGCCGCCTGTGGTCAAGCGCAAGAAGACCAAGGTGAAGTTCGACGACGGCGCCGTCTTCTTGGCCGCCTGCTCCAGCGGAGACACCGAGGAGGTGCTGCGACTGCTGGAGCGGGGCGCCGACATCAACTACGCCAATGTGGACGGGCTCACCGCTCTCCACCAGGTCGGTGCTGGGCCGAGCGAGGGACCCCGAGCCGGACTGGGGCGGAGGGGGGCGAGGCCGGCCGACTGCCCCCCCCCCCCTCCGCTCCGGAGGAGGAGGTGGAGGAGGAAGGGGCCGGAGGCGGCTTCACTCCCTCCGCTGGGGGGTGTCGGGGCGGGGAGGTGGCGGCAGGGTCAGCCTGGGACCGGCCGGGGCCGCGGGCCGAGCCCCGGGCCGGCGGGGCCGCAGGGGCGGGAGGCTGCACCCCCTCCCCGCGAGCAGGGCGTCGGAAGGGGCGGATGGGCCTCTCCTCCGGCGGGAAGGAGGTGCCGCTCACCCTCTTTCGTTTTCCCCTTTTAGCAGCGCTTCCCTTGGAGGGCTAGGGGGAGCGGGCCCTGCCCGGCATGGGCTGAGGGGGCCGGAGGCAGGTGCCCCCCGGCGTGGGAGGGTGGCTGCAGGTGAGAAGAAGCGGGCCGCCCTCGGGGGGCGCTTCTGCCGCTGCCCCTTGCCTGGAATCCGGGTAATAGCTCCCGGCTTCCCTCGTCTCCCCGGTTCCGCAATAGTTGAGCCGATTAAAGCCCGCTCGTGTGTGCGGGCGGCCGTGTTGAGAGACAGATCATCTATTTCTCTCCGGTTTCTAGGGGAAGCCAGTGTTTTGTTCATTATATAGAAACGCGTATCAGTAAGGGGTTGTTTTCGTTACCGATGGCTCCCGCCGCAGTGTGAAAGCTGAACTTCAAGCGGAACAGGGGTCTTAAATTTTTTTTCGTGCGTTGGAGAGTATTAAAAAACCCTATCCATATCGCTTTGTTCTGGTGTGGGTATGTGGGAGGGGTGTTGGTACCGAGGGAGGTAACTTTCACTTGGGTCAAGGGGGGGAATGCACGGGAAACTGGCTGTGAAGTTTCCTCAAAATGGATGCTTTGTGCATGTTGAACTTCATAGCAGTCTGATTGGAATCTCAAAACGTTAGCCAAATAAGGAAAGGCTGTGGCAATCCGGAGATAATGCGGGTTTGCCTGAATAGTTTTTTTCTCTAGAAGGCCAAAAGCTTCCATGCAATATTAGATTTACTGAATATCTATAAAGCAAAAAAATACCTTTGACAGGCTAGCTTCTTGTTCTTAAGTTTATAAGTTGTTCAGTAGTTTAAAAAATATTTTAATGGTTATGTGTTGTAGGTTGATCAAGTAGAAATTTTCCCAAAATGGTTAGGTGAGGTGGTTTCTTACATTAAAAAAAATGAGATGATGAATTTGTTTTCTCCATCCTATATAGGTTTTTCAAGGCTATGAGGCTCTAGAAATACATAAACTGCCTTGCAGAACTGGATAGAATCCCCTCTTGACCATGGGATATAAAATTCTATGATTCTTTGCTCTGTTTGCTGTGTCTGAGTTGTCACTTGCTGTTGTCACCCTGTAAAGAGTGTTGGTTTAATTTCAGTTGTGAACTGGACTGGAAGAATGAGTGTGTGTTGCAGTTAAGCCTGTCAGAGTGTTACTGCAGCACAGTTACCTGACTGCAGGCTAACCTGTCACTTCATTGGAAGGTTTTCTATATTTATCCTCCACTAATCAAGTTTTGGTAGCTTCATGCTTCCAGGGAGCTCTCTGTGAGAAGCCATACCTTAACTGGTTAGATCCTTGGATCTGCAAGTTGCTGTACTCCAGTCATTGGTAGGGAAGCATGATGTTTAGTTTAACTCTATTGTTAGAATAAGAGATGTTGTTCGTTCTTTCTGATGTCCAGAAGGTATTTTCAAAATGTCTTTGATACTGTATACAAAAAAGCTTTCCTCAGGGTAATTCTGAGTGTATTCTCCTCCCTTTTTTGTATGTTGTAGTCAGCTTGCAGTTTGAAAGGGCAAAGTCTAAGGGAACAGGGGTAAAGATTTACATCACTGCTAAAATTCTTGCTCATGCTCCTCCTGTCCCCTTCCCTCCTTTAGTGATGCCAAGAGACCTTTTCTGATTTTTATGATACTGGAAGCAAATAAGATCAGTTGTGAAGTTATAATCCTCTTGAGGCAGTACAGTAAGTTACCTGTTGCTATGAAAAAAATATACAATGAATCCCTGCCTGTGACAACTCTGAATGGTTTCACTTCATTATTAACACAAAATCTTATTTTCTTCCAATATGCCATATAAAAGGTGCAAATCACACATGATGCAGTCTGTAGCATGAATTAATTTAATCCCATTTGGCTGCAGTGTGAAAAATTCTGTACCTGTTTTCAAAATAAGCTCTTCAAAAACTTGTCATTCTTCCTGACACTTTTGACTGACTGATGGTAATTGTGTTCAAGTCGATGTTGTTATGTTTAAGATTGTCATGGAGTGCTGTTGCATTGTGGTTCTTTGGTTGAGTTCTTTTCTGTTTTGTGTCATCTGTTAGATCCTGTGTAGAAGACATTGCTCTTCAGAGAAGTAAATTTATCTCAGCGAAGGTAAAATTACTGTACTTTTTTTGGGTGTGTCTTTTGTCTTCCATCAGTTTATTTTTTCTAGTTATTGAGAACAAATACATATGTCTGGAATAGCAATAGAATTAAATATTTAATGTAATATTTAGCCTTTGATTTTCCTGCTACATATGGCAGTTATAGGAAGAGACTTCAGCTTTGTTTTATTTTTCACAGCTCAGGCAGTTGGAAGTGCTAAGGGGAATGTACCATTAATCCTGAAATTCTGGTGAATTTTAGGTCTGGTCTTTAATGGAGCATCAAGCTTTGTTGTTGAAGCCATTAGCTAAGCTTTTCCTCTGACTGGGGTAGAGTGCCATCACCATCAGAGAGCTGCATGTAGAATTGTTTCTCTTCATGCATACTGGAAAGAAAACAATTACTTGACTTGGTAGCTGATAGGAGGAAAGCAGAGAGGATATATATAGGTACTTACTTCAGCTCTTGACAGTGCCAGTGAGCAGATTTTGTTTTATATCTGCACGTGCACAAATAAGTGGACTTGAGTGCATCGTATCTGAGGACAGATGAATTAAATTCTTTGGTATCTTGCAGAAGAGGAAAAATTGTCATTAGGTTATTATTGGTTATTATTCTTCTATGGAATTTTGAGTTCAAATCTCACTTTAAGAACGTGTTCTGCACAGGTCCTTAGAGTAGGCCTTCAGCATAAAGGACGATACTGTTACGTACTGTTTTCCTGTCTATGAGATATATATGCAATATAGGATATTGCAGCAGGATAGTGTGTATTGTGCTGTATGATCTGCATTGTATACATATTGTGTGTATGTGTCTGTAAGACCAGAAGACTTTTAAATGAGAACTTAAATTTACAATCAGATGTCAGTGCCATTACTCCAGTGGAGGTGGAAGTTTTGAATGCTGCACTCTCAGACAGCTGTTATGCAGGATGAGATCTAACTTGAAGTGCAGCTTTTCTAATCTGCCATAGCAATGGAATGTAAGGAGAATTTGAGAAAAGAAAGGAGCTCAAAGGTGAACTGTGACCTTGCAGATTATTAGTGTCTACAGAGGGGGGGGGGGGGTGTGTAGAAGTGGCATATTCTGAAATAATTCTAAGAAGCTATATAATATTTTCAATAAAACCCGGTCTTTTCTTAAACATATTTCTTCAGAGTGGGATTCAGGTCTCTCGTCCTGAAAGCTTAGTGCTATCATTCCTCAGAGTTTGGACTCTCTTGTGCTTTCCTTGGCTTTCATTAAAGAGAATTTAGTTCACTAGCTCTGACTGGAATTTATTGCTTAAATGGCTGCAAGTAGTTTGTCTAGAAGTTACACAGAGCTTTGTACAGGAAAGTGGAGCCCACCCTTTTTGGACAGCACCACAGAAAGACTGCATGTAGTGGGGGGGGGACCACGATGTGGCCAGTTTCCTGGAAAGCTGGATTCCCTGTGCACATTGCCCTCCTGGGAATATTGAATATGCAGTGTGGAGTACCTGCACAGACCTCAGCACTGGCTGAGATTAGGCTGTGGTTGGGTATCACAATTTATGCAACCTGCTTTTTGACTACCCTTTTTCTTTGAGGCTGCTCAGAACTAGGGGATGGTAACCTTGTTTTTGGCCTCATTCTCTCTGGGTGAGGAGGGTGAGTGCTGCAGCCTGATTCCACCACATAGCATGGAAAGTGCATGTCCTGCTGTGCTGATCTTACCTGTTCTGGGGAGGGTACTGCTTTTGAGGTAAGATAAGGGAAATTGTCTTAGCTGTCTGTGCGTGGGGATCATTGCACACCCACAGGGGATGTTGTTGGTTAAGCCCCTGCTCCTTGTTGAAGAATTGGTGTCGTCTTTTTTGTCTGTGAGAACTACAGTTTAATTAAGCAAAAATTCCTCGACGGCAATCTCTCTGTATCAGTGTTTTTCTGCAACTCTTTAGGTGGTCAATTGAATGTGAATGTGAGACTATTTTAGCAATGTTATAGTTACATCCTAGTTTGCATATAGTACAGTATACAGTGTCAAATAGAAATTTCAATTTGCTGCCACTGTTGTAGGACTCTGATGTGTTTATCCCTGAGTACTAATCAAGATTGTGTGTTTCAGAGAATGTTAGCTTACTCTTTCTGAGTAAGGACAGTTACTTCTGTTATTTCCTTTGGGTTCTATGAGATTTATTTCTTAGATAAGTACCTTCCTTTGCAGGAGTTTTTGCAACCGTTTATGTGAAAAGTTCTGCCAGGGCTCCTGGTGGCATATTCTTAGTACCTGATATGGTAGCGAGTATGGATACCTTTGGCACCAGCTGTGTCCTTGTTGCAACACCCTTTCAAACTGCAGCCAGTGATGCAAAAGGAATATAAAATCTACCAGCACTGGATCTCTTTGCCATAGAATTTGATAGAGGGCATTATGGCTGCACTGTCCGTATTCCTTCTGATGAATGGTAACGCAAGTCATGTATTTGAGCTGGGGCTGCAGCCTACCAAGCTCTAAAAGCAAAGGTCGGGTTGCCAGAGTCTTAAATCTCTAGAGTGTTTTCATCATAGCAGCTGCACTCACCAGCCAACGGTAAGGAAGGTATGGAAGT